CGCGGCGCTAAAAAACAGCGAGGAGAAGGGGGCATATGAGGGTATAGCGTGCATCAGGTTATCAGTAGTCAATATAAACCTATTTACAAGCAAGAACAGTTAACTTAACAGAAGAAGAACCTGCCTAGTGTGCATTTTTTTAACTTGCTTTGTGCGTTCATGTAAGTGATTGCTCAGCTGGATCAATTTTGCCTTCGAAAGGACAAATTCAAAGGCACCCAAACTGAGCTTTTTAGGGAAAGAAAACGGAAATGGTTCCAAATTTCGGGCTATCAACTTCGTCAATTTGAGGCCTGAGTGACATAACCTAATCTGAGTAATAAGTTGAGTCACGGCAGGCGCCACTTACAAGACAAAATCTCGGGTAGAATCACTAGACTGATTAATAGCACGACGGTTGTGTTTCCTCAGAGGACCTCAGACGATACAGTCGAGGGACGTGTGTTGCCGTCCACTGTGTGGACCACACCAGTTTGGGCGCAGGTAGAGTGAGTTACGCGTCAGCTAGTTTACACTGACAGTAGACTTGCACGGCATCAACGGCAGTATCTCCTCCCTTAACCAACTGGGCCTGGATATGGGAGAGCTATCGGATTTGCATGGTGGACTTGGCCTACAGATATTGCAGTGAACTCTGCTGTCGATAATGCGCATGCGGCCGTACATGTAGAAACCCAAAGTAAAGATAAGTAAAGGTGTGTCTGCGGAGCTCGACTAATCCTGTCCTTCACACAAGCAAATGCCTGGAACTCGCGTATTCAGCTCTGTAAGATGGCACTGTTCAGGGTTTTTTTAATTAGGCAACATCGGCGATTGAAGATTTATGCGCAGGTGTGTGTATGTGCAGTTCTGATCGGGAAGTAAATAGGCAGCTTAAGGAGAAGCACGTATAGGATGTACACGATAAGGGGAAAAATGTCTAAAGTTAAAAAGGAACGTTTATGTATTCAGACGAATTCTTGCAAATTGTCCAACAATTATGCGTCACTTATCCAAATAGACATTACCAGAGGGAAAACGACAGTTTCGACTTACCGAAAGCTGATGTAGGACGGCTGAAATAACACGTATAGCGGCCGCTCGTCGGCCGGCGATAAGGGTACGCCGACCCTCCAAAAGGAACTTCTGTTGCATCAGAATATCCTTCTTGATTCGATACTTTTCTTCAGCCTGTAAAAAGGGCGCAGAGGGATACAACTGAGATGAGATCGAAAATTATATTCGAAAAAAGGAAGCAGAGCTTCTAAGCCTTTGACTTGTCAGAAAAAAAGAACGACTTCTGAATACCGACTTCTCAAATTAGTGACCAGTGGTGGGGATCTCAATTACTTAAGATTGACGTAATTAGCCAGGTGTGAATACAAAGAGGGTGTTTGACCAAAATCACGGATCAGGCACATGAGAATGGGTGTGTCCCAAGGCAGCATAGGAAGATTTTCAAACACTAGGCAGTCACACACGGCGGTCAGTGAGGTCTGGGGGAAGGTAATGAACAAGGAAGATTATTCCTACTTAGAACGACACCCTACCGCTGAAGGTCAGATGGTCTTAGGATGTTGTTCCAAGCGCAGATATCGTTTATTTAACTAAATCAAACACGCCCCATTGATGGACAAAAAACTGTACGAAAGTGTAAATCGTCCAACGTATTATCTGGGGATTGTTGCAGCAGTGCTCCACAGAGCAGACGACCACGGGCCATAAAATTAGCAGGAGGATGGAGTTTAACTAAAAAAATGCTTTCAG